CATATGCCGTAACTGAAGCCTAGCTCTCATCTCAGTAGAGGAAGTTGCTTAATTTTTTTATTGTCATTACTAATTGTTGTTAATTATTTTTTATTGTCATTAATATTTTTTATTGTCAAGTAATGTAATTGACTGATTCCAAATTGTAGGAATGTATATAGAAACTAGGAATAAGGCCCATTGTGGAAATAAATACAACGAGCTCTAGAAAGAGGCTCTGGGGGAGTGCCGAGGCCTTGGGCACTCAGCATCAATGTGCTGTGGTGACCTCAGCAGGGTATAATGACACAGTGTTCACTGTTTTCTCCAGGAGGAAAAGTAGTCTTTCTCTGTAATGGGGACCAAAGCAGCTTACATCATTCTCCTCTCCTGCTTTCAGGGTTCCCAAATCCCCCCGGGGGGCGGAATTCCCCCCGGTTTCGAGCCCCGATTCCCGCTCCCACGGAATCAGGGCCTGGGGGAAACCCCACCCCCATGTGTGCGTCACCCGGAAGTGACGTCGCATGCGTTTGACGTCACTTCCGGTGACGCTTCGGACGCGGACGCTCCCGGAGCTACAGGATGCTCCCCCGCCAGTAAGCTTTTTCGATTTGGCAATCCTACCTGCTTTTGACTTGTACAACAACCCTGTGAGGTAGTTTAGGCTGAAAGTCTGTGACCAGTCCAAAATCACCCACTGAGCTTCTACAGCAAGAACCTGGATCTAGCAGACCCTGCTCTGAAGCACTGACTACTACTTCTAGGGCAGCCAACCTCCAGGTGGAGCCTGAGGATCACCAGGTATCACAACTGACCTCCAGACAACAGATCCCCCCCCCCGGAGAAAATAACTGTTCTAGAAGGTGGGCTGTATGGCATTCTGTTCAGCTGAGGCCTCTCCCCTCCCCAAACCCTGGCTTCCATAGAGTCTTCCAGAAAATCTCCAGGAATCTCCCTACCTGGAGCTGGCAACCCTGCACTCAGTACTGGCCCCAATGAGTTCCTCACAAAGGCCTGCAAAGGGTTTCCTTCCTTTGTCTGAACCAAGCTTGGTTGCCTACTGTGGCAAAACGGGGTCCAGTTTACCACTTAGCTGTTTGCCTCCCACCCTTGTCC